GGATAGGAAGCCAGAAAGTTACAAAAGCTGCACCAATCAGCGGAACCATATCGCCAAAATGTGCGTCTAGAATTGGAAGGAACACTGGAAAAAATAATTTGGGTAGAGAGCGAAACAAGACGATAGTTCGATGAGCCCCAAGAAGGAATTGTTGCAACATTTGAAAATAATTGTGGGTTGGATACGAGGATAAGATCAAGGGTATGAGTGTGGTCGCCAGCACGGTCGGGGAATCAGTTGGTGGAAACTGTTCAATAGGGTTGTGGTATTTCAAAATCACGATTACCGGACGACCTTGGGCGAGAACCCTACGCACATCACTCTGGGACCAAGTAGGTCTACCGCCGTTTCTCCTTTCAACAGTATTCGAAATCATTATCGCTGACGGATGGCGTGCGTTCCCCAAGCGCGGAGGTATACTGAGCGACCGCCAGCTTGGTTGCCGACATCGTCCGCGACCAGTGACCTGCTGGCTCTTGTCTCACAATCCTGGTCGGTTACACTCGATAACGACGGCTTGATGTCACACTGCACTATTCGCTATGCCAAAATGAACATCGATCGTGATCGTAGTGAAATTAATATTCTCTAGACTCAGATCTCGAACACGTTGCTTTCAATGCTTCTGAAACCTCCCTTACTCTGAAACACTATTCATTCTCCCCTACTTATCTTTTGATTCCCCTTATAAGTTCACAATGCATACCACACAAATGGTAATGCTTAAGGTGAATCAGGATAAAGCCTATTTTGTGGAAGAAGAGAAGGCAAACCTGTATGGTCAACACACCGAGTTCACAATCCAACCACGCGTACATACCTTGCGATCCTTCTGACCTGATAGAATATGATAACCAGAATGCCACTGCTATCGCTTTGCTGCCATATTCCGTAGGGTCTATTTCACACACGTCTCACGTCAGCCTGTGCCAAACAAATAAAAAGAAAAACGTTCAGTGATTTGCACATGGGCCGAATACTGCCAGGTTGCCCATGCCAAGTCAGGTGAATTTTCTTGGGGAGTCCACAACCGGAGCTTTCGGCTAACCAAAGCATAACCCGCAAAGGCAGCGGAGCGGTGTGGGAAAACCGCAGTCTATTTGGAGCCAGTGTCCAGTTCATCGGATTACACGCCTTTCTGACGACATCAAACGTCCAAGATGCCCAATACACCTCCATGCCCAATTGAGCCGGTGACTACTGACAACCGGAAAGGTGTGGGTGTGGTTCGTACGCCTCCTCTTCGTTGTTTTGGAATCAGGGTTTTTGGCCAACTCCCCCAGATGAACTACCGGTGGTCCACCAACCCTGTTATAACCCCGGATATGGGCTTTTCGTCCCCTCACTTTGGTGGGAAAACACCTCCGTCACTAGAAGGCAGTGAGCAGGACTTACTCAGCAGAGGCTATTTGAGATGCTTGGTCGTATGAGAGCATCCGCGAAGTGCAAGGGAAAGGTGACCAGCGGCAACCCAAGATGTGACATTCTGTTTAATTGTTACATTGCTACTATTGGCCGTTGTCAGTAGTCAAACTCTATTCGGACAGTCTTCCCTGTTTCCTGCTTTCCCATTTGTTGACTGTAATCTGTCTTTGGCTTAGCGGCCGTCCATCTTGGTTTGCTTAATGTTTGCTCTGACCACCACATATTGGTGCTGCTTGTTGGACTGCTGCTGGTCAAATTACTTCGAATAACTACCACAGGCAAGAATCCGAGACGTTCTGACTATCTTCTGATACTTGGAGTGCGTATATTCGACCAAAGACTAGCAAAGTACAGTACATACGAGTCGCGTATCAACACAAGGCACCCAACCCCGACTATACTGAGTCTGCAAATAAGGCGCGATAGACGACAGCTAGGCATACGAAATACGTGCTCTAGCCAGCGAAGCCCTCTAACCTAAATTCGATGAACTCCCAAACACGATGGTTCACTTCCAGATTACCAAACCCGCTCAATCCACCCCATCTGTGCCTAACTACGCTAGTATCGATAATCGAAGACTTTTGACCCATGGATTTCTTCTACTCGCAAATTCATAGTCTCGGAACCACAAAGAAGAACTGAACGAACAGTGACCCAATGAACATCCTTTTAACTTCATTGAAACGTCAAATCTACGCCAAAGGTGTTGCAGTTCTGCTCGAGCCATTGAAATGCGGGCAGTTATCTTCTTTGTTGTGCTACCGTCATTGGTCTAGTAACTACTCAAGTAAGAGAAGTAATCCACTAAAATTAACTCTTGACAATCTAGTGCTATTTGGCAAAAGCCGTTGCCAGGTGACATACAAATTGCTTGAGGGTTACAGGTCGGAAGAAGAAGCAAAAGGAGAGCTGGATACGAAGACAAATAATTAAACAAAGATTGGGATGTCTGAGCAGTAGTTCATTTAATACTACCCACCTCACTCGATGCAATGGGCAGCGCGGTGCTGATTATCTTACGAGACGACCGACGCACAAAGGAATCCTATGCAGTTTGTGTGTGCATTGGAATTCGATGGGCGGGCACTGCTGAGGCGTCCAACCGCTTGGGTTCTCGATCAAATCATTTGGTTCTGATAAGAACGTAATTGTAAGACAACGGGTAAGGCGGAATGGAGACCCATCTACGTGGATCAATTATTTCTCCGTCATATTTCACCGACTGAAACGCCAATAATAGTCAAATCACTGACCTGGAGGGCCAGGAGATTGAACTTTCTCGGCCATCTGTCCTACCAGGCATCATGGTATCTTTCGGCTTGGTAAAAGCCATCCTGTGTAGCTCATTGTGTTACAGAGGCACAAGCAGTTACACCACGTTAAGATGCGGATTTTTGTGATGGCTACTATTTTAAATAGATGGATGAATGGATGAACAGTAGAAGGGTTAAACCGTAGAGCATGAGAGCGCGATCTATCGAATTAAGCTATATACCTTGGATTCAATAACCACATACATCCCCAAAATGATAAGGCAGGCGTGATACTGAACCGGATGACGGTAAATCTAAACCTGATTCAAATCCAAAAAGAAGAGGTGTACGAACCACACTCACCCGCACCTTCTTGGATGTAGCAGTGGTCACTGTCTCGTTTGGGCATCAAGGTGTACTGGACATCTTGGATGTGTGACTCCATTCAGAAGGGCATATGTTCCGATGAACTACACACTGGCCCACAATGGATCGCGGTTTTGACACAGCCCCGTGTCCTGCCGGCCAGGTTTTGGCTAACCGAAGGCTCCCCGAGAAAATTCACCTCTTGTTACCTGTCAACCTGACTGTACGCCGCCCACATGCAAATAAACAATTTTTTCTTTTTTATAAAGATTATTACACCATGATTTGTTTGGTACACAGTCTGGCCTCAGACGTGTGAGAAGTATAATATATCTGAACCAATATTCATCCCAGGTAAATAATCGGTGATGTACTAGCCGGAGAAGGCAAATGACGGAGAATAAGCGTTATTCTCAACATTTCTTTAAAATGTGCTCTATCGGCCCTGATCGAAAAACTCATCACTAATCATATCTGATTTCTTCCTAAGTTCCGCACAGATTCAGTAGGAATCCAAGTTATTAGAAAACATTTCATCATTGATACTCACCGCTTTCCCTTGATCATCTCCATTTTCTTCTCTAACTTCGTTGCCTCCAAAGCCGCGGTAAACTGGCGCGCGTGTCGCTTAGCCACAATCACATCTCGGTCGTGCGCCGTTCGGCGCTGTTCCTGTTCTTCTCGTTCCGAGGCAAACAAATCATTCCATGATGTATCAGGCAGATAACGAATGTTCCACAGCTCTCCATACCACGGATTGCGCTGGACAGACATAAATGAAGTGGGCTAGTGCGATGAGCATTTCTTCTGTTTGTGAATCGGATACTATGCTTCAGATCATGTGTATTTAAAAAAATACATGAACTCAAGCTCCCTTGACAAATCTCCCACCCCACATTTCGATACACTTTAGCAGTCAGCTGTAAAAGCATCGTTGTTACTATAAAAGCGAAGTCCAGCACAAATAAGCTTTGATGTGTTTAACCCTCAGGAAATTCATTCTTTTGGGTTGAAAGAAAACATACCGTGATATACGCTCATGATTATGAACTATTTGGCAACTGGTTCGCCGTTCCGGTTGTTATATTCTAAGATTTGTGGGACTGTTCGCACGACCAAAACAAAATTTAAAAGAATGGAACAATGGTATACATTGGTTTTCCATTAGCGCCAACAATCGGATAGTGATCCGCGAACATAGTATACACTATCAATTAGTCAAGCGGCGAGTCCTAGCAACGGACGAAACCGAAGGCATTCTGATATGCATCTCAATGGTCAACTTCGTAATTCATTGAGCAATTACCACCCACCCAAGCTGGGTAGCCCCCAGCCAATAAGGTGCTGTCTCGTCCACGTTCCGCTTGTCTCATTGGGTGCATGAGGCTACGGGCCGATCCCGAAAAGCGGACCGATAATCAACGCACCAGCGAATAACAAACTTAACCGAAATTCAAAGGCCTTGCGTGACAGGTCCTCAGAAGCTCCCACACGGGTGCTTCCTTCACGCTCACGCGTTGTATTTA